TCTAGACCAGCAGTTCCCAATCCGGGGGTCATCAAAGCTTCACCGGGTAGTCGCAAGGCCTTCTTGATTTTAAGGGGTGTAAAAACCTTAAAGAATATACACAGTAGGTCTACATTTCATCATTTCATTTGTTTCTGTATTTAAACTTTGAAAACCTGAAAACCTGAAAGTACGCAGAACAACCACAGAGCTAATAGAGAAGTGGTTAAGTTACAGGCAGAAGAAAACACAGAATTTATCAAATTGAATATGAAATTGAATATAATATGAAATATCCATAAAATATGTTACTTAGTCAGGGGTCTTTAATTTATTCAGTGGTAGAAAAGAAGTCTATTAAGGAGAAAATTTGGGAACCACTAATCTATATTGTCTCACACAGGAGATAATTTGCTCCCCTTTGCGTATAATCAAATTACAAAGTATATATGTATGTCAAAACCTGTCTATTTTCTGTACTATATGCTCGTATGTGGCAGCTAGAGTCTCTGACTCTCTCCTCTACCTTGTCATCTCTGTTCCCTATTATCTCCTATCCCATCCTCATTACAGTTTTATCCCCAGCAACTGACGCAGGGCACCTTGCTGAGTGGCCAGCGTCGATGAGCTATATACAGTCAGCCTTTTGAGTAAATAGTCATAGACCGAGGGAGGTAAAGCTTGTTAGTCGGTCTCAGGGTCTGGCCAGGATCTACTTCCAATCGCAGCTCTGTCGAATGACTGAAGATTTTGTCTCTCATGGGGTTATTCAGACACTTTAACTAACAAAAAGCTAACATTCCAGTGTATTAACCCATATCCCACAATAGAAATACAACAAATGCACAACATATATACAACAAGCATAAGACACAATACACAAAAACATCCATTGTATATTGGATTAACCCAGTAGGCCACAATCCCTTTAGAATCTGTGGAATTGATCTACTTTTCTCCTCAGCTATCATTTAGAAAGATATTCAGAAAATGTCAAAACATTATCAAAAAGATTTTCAATTATAGCTCAAATCTAAATTAGGAATATGGAATTTTTAAGGCATTCATAAATGGAAAAAAAAAACCTTTTCTACCAAAGCTTTTAGACGTTAGAGGTGGCAAGTAGTTCTCAAGTAACTGTACGTACAATTTTGAGGTATTTGAGTTTTTCAGCTTCCTGCTACTTTAAACTTCTGTTCTACTACAGTGGACTGATTGCACAGCAGACATTTTGACATGTCAGACCAGGAAACTCACAGGTGTATTAATGATTGCTGCATCCCACTTAGAGAAGGTACTGCTACTGTGTGTGCTGGTTTACTGACACTGTTACTGGGACACTTAATGGAACTGAGTCGATGTCACTGTGTTTTTCTGGCTTTAATGAGTCAAACTATCTGCTGTGGAACCAGTTCATTAACAAAGTTATTACAATTCATGTTAACATGAATGTCCTGCTCAAAATATAATTTGTATCCATCCACAGAGTCGTGCTCCTGATGATAACTTGGGACCTCTTGTCAAGTTATGAGATGTCTGTAATTAGCAGTTCCACCAAAAAGTGAGCCTCTCAGATTAAAGTAAAAGCTGAATCTTCTTTCTTTTGTCTTTCCCATCCCGTTATATCATCTTTCCACATTTATCAAAATGTTAAAATTAGCTCCACATCAACCAGCTTCAACAATGATTGTGTATTGGTGCGTTAGTAACTAATAATATCATAATAATTGCATTTCCATATACATAATGAGTAGTTTTTCCTCCTAATACTGCTGTAATTTTACACGAGTTCAATCACTAATGGAGTATTCTTACATTCATGTATTTGTGTTTCATTAAAACATCTGAATATTTCTCCCTTAACAATTTAACAATGAACATTGAGGAAAAGGAAGTTGTCGTAACCTCTTAAACATATGGAAGCCCATTTATACCAGGACCAGAACAAATAGAAGAAAAGTTTAGGATGATAAAAATTAAAAACCCCTCAAAATTATGAATAACAAAGTCAACATTTAGATTTTTTTAAATCAAAATTGAATAGTCACATTATTAGAGTCACAGAATATAAAAGTTTTGTGGGTTTTAACAATTTTCCGCAACAACATAAGTTTTGTAATGACGGAGATTATATGAAAGCCCATTTCTGCCAGGAAGAAGCTGCGAGCTCTTAGCGTTAACTATAATCTTACTAGATAGTTAACGCATTAAAAACTATACCTTCAGGTCAAAAGAATTTCCCCATTGTGGGACTAT